ACCCCAAACTAGCATATCTTGGGGGGTGGGGGGGGGTTTTGGGTAACGTCAGCCCTTCAAGATAGGCTGGTTTAAGAAATAGAAACAGAAGCGATTCCAGGAATGCTCTTTGCTATTGTAGGGTAGACTAACAAAATCTTGAAAGCCTGTCAGAATTTCTCACTGCCCTTTCTTATACCAAATAAAATCAAGGTGGTGTTCCTTTCCAACCCTTTCTACTTTCTCAGGATTATGTTACCTTTTCTCCTCTCCTAATGGTTCGTGATCTCTTCCCACTTCCTAGGCCAGATAGATTGTATTTAGCAATCAGGCTTACTAAGGTGATGTTTTGCTTTTATATGAATTCTAGAATCATAAAAAATAGCAATGCAGGATTGAGAACAACGTGTTTGCAGTAGTTATAGTTAAGTCTCAGATGTTAAAGTACCATATTCACTTTTGTCTACTCGAGGGGGAAAACAGCCTGGAGTAGTAGACTGAGTTCATACATTGGACATGCATATTGAGTATTTGATTTTGGCCTAGCGTGTTATATGAAATTAGCAACTGTTGGTTTGAAGAATTGTTTTTGTTTTTGACATTATGTTTTGTGTGAACACTACCATTGTTTATGCAGTACTCTATGACTAAATAAACCATGGCTTGGCTTGTAACCTAGTCATATAGAAGATGAAGGAACTCCTAATTTTCCAGGTTTCTATGTTTAGGATAGACATGGCTTTTTGTAAGCCTATCCACACTATGTTTTCTTAAACTGATGAGAAATTGAAATCTTTTTCAGGATGCAATTGCCATGAGCTGTACTTGTTGCCTTGCACTGTTGCCTTGTTGTATACAGATTTGGTTGGCAAAATTTTTATTACCATAAAAATAGACTGGAGGAGATTTCACAAACATCCCTTAAGGATTATCTCTGTACTACAGGGGCAGTTAAACAAATTAAAGTGATCTTCTTGTGCTTCTTATGTGGTACACTGAATATGAGAGTGCTGCTTTTCACAAATTTCCATCAGTTATTTTTTTAGTGTGTTGGTATAAACATTATATTTTTGACTAAGTGCTTTTGGGAATTGTAGTGAACAAGTTTTGAGTATGCTTTGTCTGTATATTATGAAAGACACAGGAAAGGGAGAGGGGGGAAAAGTTACTGATGGTTTTTTTGGCTTCTCTGGATCATTTCAGAATTAAAATATTAGGACATGTTTTCTTTAAAAATAATCTGTGTAATGTCCAGAATCTCTCTCAAGTGTATACTCAAGTAAAATTATTTCATCTGCTACACTAGGCTGTGCTAAAACTTTATGGAGTTGGGGTAGGTTGCTTGTTCATTTTCTAAAAACAGAGTCTGAAAAAATAGACTTGTTTATTCCAACTGCTTGTTCCCCAAATGCATTAATATTCGTTTTCATAATTCATAAAAAAAGTGTGGGGATTGAAGTTCAACACATTTGAAAGTTCCAGATTAAGCAAGATACAGTGGAACCTCGAGTTGCGAATTTAATCCGTTCCGTGACTCTGGTTGCAACTCAAATTGGTCGCAACACGAGGCAAAT